ATTATTATACGGAGGATTTCTATTGGCTGATATATTAAAAAAAAAAATTTTAAAATTCTATTTTGTTGACCCGGCCGAGATATGAAAACCGAAACTATAAGTTTGTATGGCCTTAGTAAAATATCATTATAAAATATATATATTCATAAAATAATCAAATCATATTGGTTTAAAATAAGATGTTTAAAGTTAATTAGTTAAATTTTTATTATATCTTATTTAAAATAAAAAAAAATTTAATAATATCAGTAAAATATCATTATAAAATATATATATTCATAAAATAATCAGAACATGTTCGGTTTAAAATAAGATATTTAAAGTTAATTAGTTAAATCTTTATTATATTTTTATATAATTTATATAATCTGTAAAATATTTATTATTGATAATAGAAATTTAATTAATCAAAATAATATCAGCTTAATTTAAAATCAAAAAAAATAAATTAATAATATTAGTAAAATATTATCATAAAATATATATTTATAAAATAATCAGAACATGTTATAGCATATCAGTTTAAAATAAAATATTTAAAGTTAATTACTTAAGCCTTTATTATATTTTCTTGTAATTTATATAATTTGTAAAATATTTATTTTTGATCAACTTAATATTGGCTTAATTTAAGATTAAAAAAAAAATTCAATAACATCAGTAAAATATCATTATAAAATATAGATATTCATAAAATAATTGGATTATATCATAAAATATTAGTTTAAAATAAGATGTTTAAAGATAACTAATTAAGTTTTTGTTATATCTTCTTGTAATTTATATAATTGATAAATTATCAGTTGTTTGATTTTGGTTAAGTTTTAATCACTTAAATATTATCTTTTTTTTTTAAATTATATTTGAATATTATATTAATCTTTTTCATATTAGTAGGCTGATATATTAACAATTCTATTAATCAGTTTATGTTTTTGGTTGATTTTTTAATTGCCTAAATATCTTTTTTTTTTAAATTATATTTAAATATTATATTAATCTTCTTTATATCAGTAGGCTGATATGTTAACAATTTCGTTAATCAGTTTAATATTTTATATCTAATTTTAGAGTGTTTGTTTTCATATATATCACTTGCATATTATCTTATCATATAAAAAAATTTCAACTAGTATTGGGTGCCTAAACTACTAGGCTACAGAATCTCAACTCTATAATCAAAGATATCTTAACATCTACCTGGCCAAATTTAATAATCTTTTTTTATAGTTTAATTATAGATATAATTAGAATTCAAATAAAAAAAAAGGCCTTCAAATTTGGTTAGATAGATGTTAAGATATCTTTGATCAAAGTTTGAAAATAATTTTCAATACAATTCTATTAATAGAGATTGGAAAATTTTTACAACTACTTGATTAACAAAAATGAAGTATTACTGTATACGCTAATAGATAACACACTAGAAAATCATAATTTTTTTTGGAATTGTGATTTTTTAAGTGGGACTTTTTAAAAAAATAATGAATTTAAAGAAATTTTACAGATTTCGATAGATGATCAACTACCAATCACAATAATTTGAAAAGCACTATCGCTATAGTATCAACTAAGGGTGTTCTCAAGAATAAAGAACCTGATTGGCCAGTTTGATCATACGCACCAATCAAACTTAAATCGCTTAATAGTTTAGGTCTTGACTACTGACGCTACTAGATACTTGCATCCTGTGCCACGCGAACCCTGTTTGTGTAATAATCGACACATGTCTATTAACTCTATTGGCCAAAATTTCGTGCTACCGAAAGTTTTTGGTGGGGTCGTCTTTTATGTTCGTCGATTTCTAATTTTATTCCATATTATATAGAGAATATTTTTTTTTCATAGAAAACATTTACAGAATATCAAATGTTCTCAAATCTAAAGTATGTTCTCATAAAAACATGAGAATAACACTGATCGTACCATTTCAAATTAGAGTTTGGAACCGGCTTTAATCGGTTTTAACATATTAAAAATAATCCGATTCCAGACTCTATTTAAAATTTTTGGGAGTACTAAAATTCTATTTAGTAGATTAGCTCATATAACTGTATAAATGATAAGTTCTCACTATTTGCCACACTAGGTGCTACTTGCCAGAAATTGCTTATCGTTATGCCTCTGTAGTAAATTTGATCACGAACCTGCCACTTTGTCATTATACCATTTTTGAACGGCATGATAGCTTTACAATAACAACAAATCCAGTTTACGCCAACATTAGATCGCTTCAACAATATATATTTATATATTAATCGTTAGAGATGGTCATTGATAACGGATTATGTAACACAGCATATATTCACATATTTTCAAATAAAATCTTTGACCGATCAATCAGAATACAAGATATGGTCACATTACACTTGATCTTATATACTGATTGGTCAATTAGAGAGTAGTAGTAAGTGAATTTATTTATTACAATAATTTTCGAAGATCAAAATTAAAAAATTTTTGACGGTCTCCAGAATTGTTTTGCAGATAATAACTAGATTTTTTCTGATGATTCTTCTTGGCTATTTTTTTCAATCTCTTCAATAACTCGTTGAGCAATAGGAGTCAGTTGATCTGGTGATACTTCTTTAGCAGGCCATTTAATTCCTAGACCTTCTTCTTGGTTTGGTTTCGGGATCTGTACACAGGAAAACAAATTTCAAATGAAACGAAAAGTTTGAAGAAAATATCCTTAATTAAAGAATAAATTAACATACAACATGAACATGTACATGCCCCACTGCCTGTAGAGATATTAAATAGAAATTAAATTAAAATTGGATATCTGATTAATAAGATAATTGCTTACCTGGTGTGCTTCTTTTCCGTTATTCTTTAAAAATTTTAAAACAGATCGATAACTCATCAATATTAAAGGTTGATAGCATTGATAATGAAAAACTATTAATAGTAATCTCTCTGGTAATATCATTGTTATATTATTACCTGTAATATATTATACTGCTCAGCCTTAGTTCCGATTGCTATTTTCTTTGCAACCGGAAGTAAATCGGCCAAATATTCATCGGAAAGCTCATGTAGAAATTCAGCGTGAGCTAAACCAATTCAAATTTATAATTAGAAGATAAATAAATGAATAAAAATAAATTCGAATACAAACGAACTTTTTGGGATTACGAGCTGTTAAATTGTAAATTATTAAAATGTAATTAAAATCGTAAATTAAAATTGGAATTAAACAAATTAAAATTGAATTAATATTTTGCCCAAATGATATATTTATGTACTACGTACAGTATGCCCTTCTGACAAAGGGCCTATGTCCAAAAAGGCGTAACTGTAATTTTTGAGATAACCGTAAATTTTATAATTCACACGAAGTTTGAAGGTATAACTAAACTTACGAATATTTTGTTTCATAAACGCAAGTAGATGGTGCCTTACGCTGTGCGATTCTACAGAAAATACAATTTGCAACATATACTGGGTTAGACATAATGGGATTGAATGTGTCTATTACAAGTGATGGAGTTTTTATACGTTCGATAATAGAAAGATAATAGATCATTAGATGTTACACAAGCATGACAGTACACATCTGAAAAATTCCGTGTCACCATTTTCATATGTAATGTAAAAATAGATTTTGGACTGCGGATTGAGAACAAGCATCTTAAATGGTTTAATAAAAAGATGCAATTTATTGGATACATGAAATATAAATAAAGGTCAAAATTTTGTCGTACAAAACAAAAAGCACGACAATATACTATATACGAATATATGCCATAATACACAAATCCCCAAGGTATTTAAACAAATATATAATAATTAAAATGAATGTAAAAAGAAAATATTAATTAAGCATCTTTGTTCACAACATTGTTATGAAACTTGATCGTAATAACTTCCGGAACACCACCATTTTCTGTGTTTACGGCTTTAGTAGTAATAACGTTACCAATACCGTTCTTTGCAACATTGTCTTTCTTCTTATCACTAGAACTATATTCGGGATAAATAAATTCATTTTGAAAATCTAAAAAATCGTCTTGATCTTCTTCATTCTCTTTACTATCTTTAACGCTATTGGGCGAATCAGGTTCATAGTTAAATTCTTCGTCTGATTTACTTTCTTTATCGTCATCTAATTTATTTTCATTATCACTATTAGGATAATATATAAATACATCATCATCATTATCATCCCTATTTGTCAATGACTCGTTTCCAGAATTATGGTTTTTATTCATCCCTTCTAATTGTTTCGGCGAGACATTCTTATCTCCTAATAAACTAGAATTTAAGCTTTTAGGAATAAATTCACGTGCATTCGGGTTTAGATTTTTTGGTGATAAAATAGGCTGAATTTCCTTTGGTACTTGAGGAATAGGAATTGCATCAGTTTTAGAACTGAATGCGGTTGATGATCCCTCAATTTTACCATTTGATAAACCAGTGACAGGTTCATTCTTTACTGGCTCTAAGTTGTATGGAGTTTCTTCTAAAGATTTCCCAACAGGTTTGCCATTTTCAACGGTTTTAGGAATTTCATGTGTAACAGATGTGGACATGCTGTTACCAGTAGTTTGTTCATTTTTAGAAGCATAAATCATTTCCTTAGAAGAAGATGGCTTATTCAAGGATTCTAATGCTTCATTGTTTTGTTCTCCTGAATTATCCTGAGAAACTTTGATAAGAGATGGTGTTGAACTATTTGCAAAGGCATGCTTAGATGAGGAACCGATTTCAATATTGTCACCATCGTCACTTCCAATATCAAATTGACCCACACTGCCATGATCACCATCGTCTTCTTCCTCCTCCTCTTCATAATCATTTTCTTCACAAGGAAGTTGTTCATTCTCGCATAAAGGTTCAATCTCAATACTCTCATCAATTAATTGTTGCTTGGTTAAATAGACTCTAGATACAAGCCAATGATGCAACTCTAAATCACCACAACCTAAACGTGAAAGGTCCGTAGGTAATGTGACTGTTACACCTTCAACTGTAGTTGTATCTCTATGACGTTGTGATATTGTTACAGCTTTTCGCACTTCATTCCATTCTTCATCGTCATGTGCTACTGTGTTGGTTTTACATTGCTCAAGAAGAGCGAATATAGATGTTAATTTTCGTTGCCCAGGTGCCGATAGGATGAAGTCAGATGAATCTCCTGACTTCCCACTTGTATAGGATTGATTTATACTCTTTATTTCTTCATAATGAGGTTGCATCCAAGGAATGACGACCGTTCCCTGACCAACTCCACGAAAAGATTCCAATTTTTGGGCGAGAATATCTCTATAAGCTTTGTAATCATTATCTTTCTTCACGTGTAATGATAAATCTTTAAGTAATGTATTCACACGAGCAGGAAGATTAGACCATAAACGTCTTATCCTGCGTACTTCAGGAGAAGTAAGTGCTTTCACCAAAGCAGCAAAGCTATTAAAATTACGATGAACTTTTAATAAATAAATTGCCACTTTGATAGCATGAGGAATAATACTTTCTCGTGGGTGCTGAGCTCCACGTGAAGAGTTTGCGGCCGTCCGGGCCATATCTGCATAAATAAATTGATGAGCAAAACTATTAGTTAAATATCGGTGGAAGTCCATGCAAGCCTGCACTTTGGAATTCTTTTTGTCTTTTGCTGAAAAATCTTTTTTGAAATCTACTTTATTAAATAATGAAAAGTCAATTATGGTTAACTGTTGCGCAACTGCTTCGGCATCCCAATGAAGCAAAGTAACTTCGGCAATTGATTGAATCTGACCATTGACTTGATCAAGTTTAGTTTTCTGTTGGTGGACACCATCCCTTAATTTCTTAAGAGCATTCTCTACATCTTTATTGTTTTCTGAGAGTTTTTGCTCGGCAACAGATAATCGGTGACTTGAAATAGTCAATTGATGGGCGTGTTGAATAGAATTCCTAGTAAGTGGAGAGAAAGGAACGAGCGGTAGATGCACCGAGTGCGAGTTTGAAAGAATTAAAGCGGCGTTATCTGAAATAGTCGAATGTTGCGGAGTTGGAGACACTCCATTTATCGCTTTATTTTGAAGGATATCTTCAAGTCTCTGCACACAAATTTTGAGGTGTTGAAATAATCTGGCGCTATTGTCTGGCTTGGTTTTTACCGCCTCTAAATAATGTACAAATCCGTATTAGATTTAAAATTATGCTTAAATTATGCTATCTAAATAAGTACCTCTACTGGCAAAAGCAACCTCATTATTAAACTTGTAGAGCAGCGCAGTAGCTACTTTTAAGTAATTACTATACGAATCCTATTTGTACGAAAGATTGGTTACAAATGTGAGATCTAGCATAATGAAAAAAAACTATAAAATTATTCATACTCTAAGGTTTCCATTTTTATAGTCAACAGCAGCGGTTTTAAATAAGTTTTCCCAGCCGCTCATCGTTTAGTATAATTAATAAGTAGCGAAAGGTGATTCTTTCCTATATAAAAAAAAAAAAAAAAAAAAAAAAAAAAGGAAGGAATTCTTTATTGCTTTTTAAGTATGTATATAATATGTTGCGGAATCACCTTTGGCTACCTCAAGTACTTATGCATAATTTGCAGGGGGTGACATGTTAACTTCGGACTAAAAAATTGAGAACGTAACACAATTTATAACTTCGCAGGATCATATGATATTTTAAATTTGTAAACTTCTGTTGTAGATCGTAGTATTTAATACAAAGTCAATTATGTTCTATTATTATTCATAGCATATATTTTATACAAATAAAGTTTAGGTGTGCTTTTTGCAGTGGTATTATTTATGCACATTTACAATTTTAATGTTACGTAATCATAATTTTCTGGCTTTGCTTTCGGTTTCATAAATAAGCATACGCCATAATTTCATTACAAAAAGTTCAGATTCTTCATCCAATGTCTAATTATTGATCATGAATATTAGTAATATATTAATATAGATTTAAAAAAAAAGTGAATCAAAATACCATTTCCATTTCTTTGGTTAATTGCTCTGCAGACTTATGATTGCGCAAATGATCCATTACGAAAGAAACTAATTCATCTTCTTGAACTCCAAGATATCCCACTATCTTCTTACTAACGAACGATTGTAATTTATTATTAAGAATATTCTGTTGAATAACGAGATATTATTTCATAAGTTAATTTTGTAATTTATTTACAATGATATGAAAAAATCAATATTCGAACGAAAAAAAGGAAATATTAGACCGCACTTACTTCATCTAATTCTTCCCATTTTACATTCCATTTCCATAAACCTTCTTTGTCCGTTGGAATAGTTTCCACTAAATCTTTAATTCTTCTTTTCCTATCTTCAGTTCTCTTTTCATCATCTTCATCATCACTATACTCTAAGGGAACTAACACTCTACGCTTCCTTTTATTGTCAAGTTCTTCTTCATCTTCTTCCTCCTCTTCATTTGACGTCATTAATGCTGCACGCCGTTTTGAAGAAATATTTAAAGTAAGTTTCGCCTTGATATTTGTACTACTTTGCGAAGATCCATTGGTCGTAAAAGGTGTTAATTCTTTTTCTTCGTGTGACTCGGCCTCTGTGATTTCAGCACGTTGTTTTTTCTCCTCTTCAAGAGTTCGTTCCCATTCCTGTTGGCGTAATTCTGACTCAATTTCTTGTTGTTCTCGAAGTTTATCTTGTTCATCCATTGCCATTTCACGTGCTCGATATTGTTGCCTGTGGAACCACCATCGGTTTCTGCACAAAAATACGATAAATACTTTTACTAATGCAAAACAACAATATATGCTTTACTATTTACAATGAATTTACCGATCTCGATAGTATTCTTCTTGCCCTCTTTCAGCCTCAACATCGTCATCCCATTCTGCTAACTTTCTTGCCATCAATTCACGATCACGTATCTGCTTTTCTCTAGCGTCTATTTCACGTTCTAATTCACGTTCACGATTTGTTGCCATGGTTTCTTCCCTATGTTGCCAACGTCGTTCCCTCTTTGTAAAGTTTGAAATTTAATAATTTATTACACAAAACATTTAGGTTAAATAGAAAATAGTAAAGTACCTCTTTAAAAGCCATTTCCATTTCTGTCTTCCTTTTTGCCTGACGTTTTTGCTCTTCATCTTCATCATCCAATGCATAGGACTCTCGTCTAGATTCTCTAGCGGGAACAAAGTTGACAGGTTGATGATAATGTCCATATTGCTGCCTTTCTCTACTATCTCTTCTATGAGATCGTTCTTTAGCTTGTTCCATCCTAGCTCGCCGATTTGCTCGTTCTTCTTCTTCCTTTTGTCTTTCTCTTTCTCTTGCTGCTGCACGCTCTCGGAAAAACGCAATTTCTCGATATATTAAATCTTTTTGTTCTGGAGGAAGATCAGCAGGTAAATCAGTGTCATCATCTTTCTCCATATGATCGATATGCTCGGAATTTGGCGACTTTCGAATTCCAGACCTATTATCATGCGGCATTCGAGATTCTTGAGGCTTTGTCATATTCTGTATGACGGTTATGACAGATATGAGAGCATTTTTATCGAGTTCGGTATCATGCTAAAGGGATTTATTTTAAAATATGTGAGAATTTGAGAGATTTTTTTTCCAATGTTTTATACAAAAAAATAATTAATTACCACAGTTCTCGGTCTTGATGCTTCATATTGATCAAGATACTTTCTGGTATTTTCGTCTGCTTTGACCTGAAATTGATTAAAGATTAATTCTATTGATGAATAATAAAAAAAAAATCCTTTATCCTAAACATGAAAGAACCAACACACTATTAATTTTTTTCCCACAGCACCCTCTTCTAGGGCGGGTAGCGCAACGCCCTTATCTTTCTTGTCATCACCAGGCCCTTCACCACCCAAAACTCGCAACGCACGAAGAACGCTATCCGCATCTAGATATTCAGCGAAACCAAATCCCTTAGGGTTTCCGGACTGATCTTTGACACGTTTCCATGATTTTAACGAACCGCATGTCTTAAATGTTTCAGGCGTAAAGCAATGAATAAATAGAATAAAACACGAAAGATCAGTTAATAAATAAAGAATAATCACGCTAAAAGTTATTCTGGTTTGATTTTTATAAGGCAGTTTGCGTAAGCTATCTGCAAAGAGATAATTTAGCATCCTGCCATAAAAGAAGCTCAAAATTTCTTTTTGGGCTATAAAAAAAAAAATCATTTTCTGTTCCAAACCTCCTGTTCAAGTCAGTGCATCCTCTAATAGCCCATTTTCTTAAGAAATTGCCTTTGCCAAATCGTGCCTCAATAGTAATTACTTTTCCTTGGGTCTTATCGATTTGGTAAAATTATGTCAACTTGTTGACAGAAAGTAATATGTAGCATCTTTCGTCCACTAAAAATAAATATCAATTTTTACCTTGAGAATCCTTTCCATCCAGTCGTCTGTCACTCCCGGTGATATCCCTCCAATGAAGAGTGTAGTCAACTTTTCAACTTCTGAACCAGACGCGACTATACCTTGAGCACCGCCGATAGGCAAAGGCCCATATCCTGGTCTCTGACCTAAGTAATTTGGCCTAGTTGGCTGAACAGTAGGTAAATAGCCTGGTCTAGAAGCAGGTGCGTAAGTCGGTCCGCTTTGTGGCGCGTATGGCCGATATGGTGCTAATTTTAAACCAAAGAAATGAAATGCACAATCAAGGGGAAAAAAAGAAAAAAAGGCGCCATTTGATAGATCAATAACATTTACGAAGAATAATAATTAGCTGTCTTCAAAATAAAAAATTAAAGTATAGCAGCAATACCATAATGAACTGGTCTATACGGATCCATCGTTTGATCTCAGCTTTTCATAAGAATACTCGGTTCTAAAACTCTAAAACGCAATAAAAATCGATATTCGATTTGTAGAACAATTGATCACGTGATGGTTCAGAAGGCTTTCAACAAATCTTTAGTGCATATTTCCACATAACTATACACCAAAAAATTATGTTAAACCTTCAAAACTCAGAAAGACGATAATTAAACCACGTTCTATTAACCTAAACCAAATTACGTTACATGACTATGAACGACGGGATTAGCATCTTGGTTGCCATCGTTGTGATTGTATGCGTATTCCGGTGGCTTTTAGGTACAAATGCACTCTTTATTTCTATAGTTTTATTATTAAATATTCCAAAGACTAAAACGATTTTTAGGATCCACACCACAGCATGCACCAAGAAATCGTAGAGGAAATATTATGGCAAATGACCCACCCAGGACTAGACCAAGACCCGTAACTCCTGAAATGGTTTGCTAATTTTTTTATGATCAAATATTTTTTTTGTCATTCTAGCCCTTTAGTCATGATACGTTTTACAGGTCGCAACAGTATGTGCAATGTTTCCAAACATTCCCCCGGTCGCAGTACAGTATGATCTTCAAAAGACAGGCTCTGTTGAAGTTACCTGTGACAACATTCTTCAACACGGTGGTCTTCCCTTGGTAACCAAAGAAATAATTTTGCATATTAAAATTAAACCTATGCTTACATTTCCAACTATTCATATATAATATAAAAGCCACCTCCTACTGTTGCTTCATCATTTGCAATTCCTTCGACGTCTCATGCCTCCTCATCATCAACAACTAGCGGGATAAATGTACCTGTAACACACCAATCTCTTGTAGATAGATATAAGCTACAAGATGCAGTTAAAAAAGGCATTGTTCCACCAGATCCACCTAAAACATGGGAATCTACTCCCGAAAAAAGACAAGAATTATTGCAAAAGAAGAAAGATGCAATGATTTTACAAGCTAGAGAGTATGTGTATACTTTATTATATATTTAATATTGATAATTTGAACCGGTTGAGATTATAATTTCCTTAAATATTTATGGATTGTATGGGAATTTTATATGAAATAACAGTTTTTGCTCACTCCTATTTAAATTTGATTCTTTTCACAGGAGATACCTACAAAAACAGCCAAAAAAACAAAATGAAACTCAAACCAAAGTAAAAAATTATTTCGATGACTCTTCTTCTATATTCACATTATCAACACATTCATTGACTCATAATTCTCAAACCAATCTAAATAATGACGAGCAAAATCTTTAATTTGAGAAAACGAAAAATATCAGCAAAATATTACAAGCAATTGAAGAATAAAGATGTATAATAATAACGTAATTGGAAATAGTATTTAGTTTGAAAGCTTGTTCTAGACTAATCATTGAACTTAAAAGAAACTGGTTTTTTTTTTCACAAATAATTAGAAAAAAGTTTAACTAAAATTATCATTCAAAAAAGACTAATAAATTTATGAGGACAGTTTGTTTTATTTTACGTTAATAAAATTGCGTAAAGGTCTTTCATCTAGCGCTAACAACTGGTTGACTCCATTACACATTCTATAATCCACAAGAATTAGTGGGGTTAAAACCAGTTAAAGTATTGGCTTAGTTCGAGATTATCACGTTGGTTATAACTTGTAATCACATTATACATGTCTGTGTACCCTGCTACTACTATGGCTTATTTTATATCTGCATCATTGTCATGCAGAAATACAAGTTTGGGGTTTTCTTGCGACAGTTCAAATTTTTAGACGTTCTGCCACTCCTTTATTAAAACATAGGGCGAGATGGATTATTTCGTAAATCTAAGAAATAAGATAAAAAAGGGAACACCTAATAGAGCGCAACCTACTGATGCCGAGCAACTGGCAAAGTTTCGTGAATCATGGAACTATATCGAAGTGAGTTGTTCGAGTTATAATATTGTTTGATTTGCTTAAAACTGAATGGTAGCTTCTGTCAAGGTGAAAATTTTAACTTGTGACTATTATCCTAAATAGTCACAATTTAATACCGAGGAGAAAAAATCCTTCCCCGATGACGTTGACGTGAAACAGACTGACATTCCATTACATCTCAAAGAAATGGTGAACATTCTTGTTGACGAAGGTATGCGACTCGAAGACGTGAACACGGGTCTTTGCAGAGAAGAATTCCTGAAAAATAAAATCCTCGAAGAATTGGTTAAACTTGCCACTAACGATGTTCCAAAGGGTATCTGTGGCGAAATTATCCGGACTATTGGAAATATGATTAATTTATTGGATGATCGGTTTTTAGTCCATAATGCCGTTCATCAACCGACCGTCTCCCTTATGATTAATTTATTGGATGATCGGTTCTTAGTTCATAATACTGTTAATCAGCCAACTGGCCCTCTTTTGCAAGAAAAATATGAAAAATATGATGAAGATCTTGTTGATTTAATGTATATTATATGTTCCAAAATTCATGATTTTCCCGAACTTTTGAATATTTTCTTTCATGATACTCAATGGCTTACGACACCACAAAAGACTTATCCAAAAAAGGAATCAGAAAATACTGCAAGCTTCTCATCGAATAGTAGTCAAGATGGAAATTTAGACGATGGTTCTGCATCTGCAAATAGTACGATGGAATCAACTTCTGCAAAAACAACAGAGTTCACCAAAGAACCAGAAAAGCGTGAATACAAATTTTTGCTATTTTCATATCTGCTTCATTTTCTTCATAGAGAAGGTAAAAGTGGTGAATATGCTAGATGTGGTTTACTTTTTATTATTGAGCTCAAAGATGAGCAATTAGGTGAATTTATTCTTGAAAGTGACTTTGCACAGATTATGGCTGCCGGATTGGGCGCGCTTTATTCACAATTACCACGCAAATTAATGGTAAAAAGCTCGAGTGGTGGGTTAACTAATGCTACCTTGTTGGGATTCGGTGGTGATAATACAAGCGCTGAATTAGAGAGACTACATTCAAATGGAATTGTGATTTCTTCTTCACGTGAATTCAAAAATCAACTTGATTCATTTTTAAAGTTACTGGAATTTTGTCAAGACGTTTTAAATATATGTCCAAATGTGGATATTTCTTTGGCTTTACTTCAAAATGTCAAAAGTATTTTTCTTGAAAACATTCTATATCCATCAATTCTGGAATGTTCTGACACAGATGGTTCCGCCGTCGCGGTCATTTCTTACATTGACATAATCATGCAGACATTGGAACAAGAAGAATTAGTTGACGTGGTGGTAGGTTTTTTGATGGATTCTGATGGTGATGATGAAGACTTCTGGAAACAACCAATTGCCAATAAAATTGCAAAACGTCAAAGTACAATAAATCTATTCGAAGGCATTGATTCTAATGCGATCAAGTCTCCTCCTTATTTCACAGCAATCGGTCGATTTACTCTCAAGGATCTAATATTTTCACGTTTGCGATCCTCATCTCAACAAACCGTCATTGCAACTCTAAAGCTTCTTCATACCGTCATCTCTAAACATTGTCGATATTCTTTGAAATTATTAAACATAGAATTGGACGAGAATGCTACATGTTTTCCTAGACCAAATTATCTATATGAAGATCCATGCAGCGAACCGCATGGATCAAGCTTTGCTCAACCAAAATTAACAACAATCAGTCACCATTTGAAAGAACTTGACCTTTTCTTCTCCTTGATAACTGCAATTGATCCAACTCCACAAAATATGGAAATTTTTACGAATGGATACGACTCCTATGTTCGTGATGCAGAAATGATTATAGAAGCTGATGCGTGTTATTTCAATGGTCTGGATGTAGAATGGACGGAAGATGGCCCTACTAGACCAAATTCAAAGAAATCTTGTAGACAACGATTTTTGACTTACAGTCAAAGCAAAAATGGCAAGAAGGGAGCATCCAAAGGCATGTCGGCAGTTCCTAAGCATCGTTTAAGCCCGACAGATCGTTTAAATCCGGGTGATTCGCTCTTACAAATTCTCGTTGGAACTTTACGGAATTTCTTTGCTCATTCACCAGAGTTAAATCTAGTTCTTACTGGAGTTCTTTCTGCCTTGGCTATTTGTCCTTATAGATCGTTAGAAGGTTGGCTTGTATTTAGTGGTACTGATAGATTAGATAGTCGACGAGAATCTCATTTGGGAGATTTAGAAAGTCTACAGCCTGGCGCAAAAAACCTGGAAATACCACCTGGAATATCTGATAATGAAAATAATGCTATTGCTGAGGGAGATGACAAACCCATAAATGACTTTGATGAAGATGATGATCGTTCAATTGATTTTGATGCTGACAGATGTCCATCTGCTACAAAAGCTATTGATACTACTCCGAAATGGACTAATTATCCTCCATTTTTCACTATCTTTAAAACACTGACTCAGGAAGTTAATTCCTACCGCAGTGAAATTGAAGGGTTTGATCAATTTCTTAAAGAAAGAAGGGGTGGCCTGTTGGATGCAGATGATGAAATTGATGAAAATTTCTTCAAGCAGCCTTACGTTCCCGCACGTACGCCTACTAGAAGAAGCAGTACTTCTAATCATTCAGGCTCTGGTATTTCGACTAATACGAAAAATAGAAAAATGACAGGACATAGAACACCAAAAAGAGCCGAATCAAATTCTAATTTGAATTCACAGATTGGTGCATCATTAACTTTCAGGTCTTCTCCTATTACATCTTCCAACATTACCACTCCGTTTTCAACGCACTTCCAAAAAACAGAGGCCATCAAAATCCGGCCTGCATTTCCAGCAAATTTTGTCAACGAAGATGAGGAGGATGATCCAGTTGACTTATTAGACGATGATGATGATGATGGTTCTTCATCAAAGAAATCGACAAAAACCAGGCAGAAGGAATCAAAACCTAAGGAAATCACGTTGAGTACGCTTCTTAACAATGTTGTTATTCTAGAGGAAGCTATTAAAGAGTTGGTTGCTATAGTACAAGTAAGGAGAAGCCTAGGTATCGATGAAGTTAGATATTTGTAAAGCACTTACGCATATATTATCATATAAGTACTATTTATAAGCAATTTTGGACTTGCTTTGATCATATGTATATAGGTTGTTTTTTTCATCATTTAAGTAAATCTATATTTGTGATTGATTTATTAATAAATTTAGTTTTATAATAAACAATAAATGTGCTAACAAGCATGTTTTTTCTTTTTATTATTCGTGTAAATTATTTATATATGTTACTGGTTTTTAGATTGGGTCAAATTAATAAATTAAAAAACCCCGGCTAGCATTATCATAATTCCGGCCCGCACTATTCCTAAATTTCTGTTGGGGGCATTTTGACCCGGGTCAAGTTTAACTCAACCTAAAAACCGACTTGACTCATAATATTTTGTAAAAACTTGAGTATTAAAATAGAAGTTTAATATGCTTCGCACCCATGCGTTAAGGTTATATATCACACCTTAATATGATTGGCTAATTTTGCAGATCATTATTTATAAAAAAATAAACAAATCTTTAGATTAAAACTAACTTATAAAAAATGAAGAAAATAGTTAAAATTTTTTTGCAACTATATGCAAAATTTGATGCTGAACAAGTTTAATTAAAAAGACATTGACATAATAAAATCTAGAGAAAATGTAAAAAATATGCAAAAAAATGTGAAAAAATGCAAATATCTTTAAATTTTATTATGCTAACCTTTTTAAAGTTTCTAAGTAAACTTGTTCAGTATCAAATTTTGCATATAGGTGCAAAAAATAGTAATGTTTTTCTTGATTTTTCTATAAGATTTCTTTAATCTAAAAAAAAATAATAAAAAATTGTTTTTTTTTACAAAATAACGATCTGCAAAATTAGCCAATCATATTTAAATGCGATATATAAGCATATCGCAGGGTACGAGATATGCATTTATTCATTAAAATAAGTGTCGCAGCTGATGCTAAAAATGGCTGATGCTAAAATTTGGGGTCTCTATTTAAATTTATAATACCTACTAAAATCCACATTTTATTAATAAAACTACCCTACTAACCCTAACCTAACTATGAAAAAAAAGTATAAAAAAAAGGCCCAAAAATTTTTTATAATTTTATAATAAAATATGAAAAAATTTCAGCATCAGCCGTTTTTAGCATCAGCTATGACAATAAGTATAATCATGAATATAAAAATTACACTATTATAAAACATGTTAAAATTTTTATTTCTATTATAGTAATTGAAATAAGCTACAATATATGAGAAATAAATTAGATAATTGTGAAATAAATATAGTATGACTAGTATCTTTTGCCAACTCTTTCCGACAATTATTTTTACTACAAAAAATCTAAAATTTTAGAAAAATACAAGCATCTATAGAGGTAAAAATAGTTAGGAAAAATAGTTTTTAAGCTTTGTAACTTGGAAGTTGTTATTTAGAGATAGTTCTTATATGCTACCTGTTAACTTCCTTAGAGTTTATCACTCACCATGGAGTTAGCACTTGTCATTTAGAAATAGTTCTCATATGCTATTTGCCGACAAGCCTAGAGTTTATCATTTACTGAAAAAATAAGAAAAATATTTGCATCTTTTTATTTTAAATAGATATTATGAACTGTTTGTGTTGAGTAAAAAAATTGTATACTCTTTTATTAAACAAAACAAGTGGTATTATCTTACCTTCTCACTGTTCTTCTAAAATTTTTTACAAAAGTGGGCAAAACAGCTTACCTCTTATAGTTAGACATTTGTTTGATTAGTTGATATAAATCAATTGCTCAGATAACTTATTTATATATTTTAAAGTACTTTTTAAGAACTTGATGTTTTACTAAGTAAAATCACCACAAAAGCCATTTTTTGTTTTAGCAGAGTGTCTATATTCACTAGGCAAAAATAATTAAAAATAATCAGTAACCCCAAGAACTTCACTTAGAAGTGAACTTCTCTATATATTTTTATATATAGCTATATATAAAAGCTATATATGTCTGAATTTCAAAAAAAAAGATTTACTAAAAGGCAAACAAGAGGTTCTATTATAGGTTTTGATAAAAAGCTTTGTTTTTACTATTTACTTATATTAATAATAGATCTAAATATCTTCTTCTATATTAGAGATTACTTCATTAGATTTTTAAATTTTGTCGCATTCTTACAAATTAATATGAAATTGTATTTATTTTTTTTTTTTATTTAATTTAATTTTTTTTTTTTTTTTAAATCTTTAATTGCTCAATTTATTAAAACTATATTTAGTAATAGTAAACTATCTTGAACAATACATATATCATTTCTAACCAAACAGGAAGTCTCATAATTGCAAGCCTAATATCATCTAGCTACGATAAACATGCCTATATGCACTAGTCAAAATTTTGCCATTTGTTATAACAAGTTATAAGCAAATGCTATGTGAATTATATGTGATTTTTTTTAAAACTAATATTGTTGAAAAAGTGCTAAATGGCAGAAATTGCATACCACTTGGTATTTTTTCATTTTGCATAAAAATGATATACATTCGGTATAATATAATTCAACTGTAAATCAGCACACAATCATTTAGCAATTAAATAAAAAACAAATCGGCAACTTTTATCAACCAATTGGTTTACTAATGTTATTTGTAAACCAAAAACATTTATTATATACTAGTTGTAAACCTATGCAATAATGCACAGAAATAAACTTATAAAATTTTTAAATATAATTTTAAAATAAAATAAATATATAGCAAAACTTTTATAATTATTAAGCTA